TCAGTGTTTTTCAACCTTCTTGAATACGCGACCCCTTTACAAGTTAAAAAATTCTGGCGACCCCCTAGGGCCATATTTAAACTATATCAGTAATTTTAAAAACTATGTATTTAATTTTCTTTCAGTTGAGACAAATTATTGTTGATTAAAATAGAAATTTCAGAAGAATCGACAATAATTTAACACACATAAAGTATGAAACTTCCTTTAATTATAACATTACGCACAGGGAACTGTTGACCTTTTTTCTTTTTTTTTTTTAGTATCTGAATTTCAGCTTATACTTTTCTACTTTTTATTTCCTTTTGCAAATCAGCTCAACACTTTTTCCGCTATCATTTTCTGGGGTGAGCCGTAATTGTCGCTGAAATTGTAGTTTTTTAATGTAGTGTAAGACCTACAAACACTTGTCTTTTACTTCTACCCGCAACCCCCATGTAAGGCTTCGCGACCCACAGGTTGAAGGATTACATTATGTAGCGCTATAAGGATTACATTATGAACAGGCCTAAATTAATATCATTTAAGTCCCATTACATACATTTTTTTAATTATATTAAACATTTAAAAAAAATTAATGTGTAATAAAATCTATTTTTTCATTCCATATATTCTTTTTAAAGTAATTTTAAACTTCTGCATTTGAATGTTGAATAGCAGTTAAAAATTAACATTTGATTTTGTTTGATTTTTAACTGAAAATGGCTCAGAGCTGAAAATACTCTTTAAATAAACAAATATTGTTTGTTTTTGATATCTGTGTAGAGTAGTGTATTTTAATTATTTAATAAAATTTTCAAACAAATAATTTAGACATTTTCCTAATATTAGATTTCATATGTTGACAGAATGATATAATAAAACAATATAAAAAATGAATTTTTAACAAAAAACAGTGGGAGAAAAACATTATACAATAGAAGTAAGAATATACAAAGCAATTTTGTATAGAAAAACAGAAAGGAATTTTTCTGTAACAAAAAAAAATTCATCATCAATATTCAAATTAATCAAATTAACAAGTTCTCTCTAAATTTTATCATCTTTATTCAGAAATTACTACTAATGAGAGAATTTTGGTATAAATCATTTCCAAAAAAAATTTTTATATTAATATCTCTTATATTTTTTTAAAATCCCACAAAATTCAACTCTTGAAAATTACAAAAAAATAATTGCAGTCTCATTAAATTTTTTATTTAAGACATTTGGATAATTAATCAATTGATAGAAGTTAAATAAAGTATTTAATGATGTTAACAATAAATTTTATTACATTCAGAACTATATACATTTTTAATTATTATTGCCTTACTGTCCTTATTCAATTTATTATATATTTGTCAATGTGAACATTAATGTGGACACGCGCCAGTATTGTGTAAATTGATAGAACGAACATTGTAAAGGTAAACCTTTTTTAACAGAATTGGTAATTTTAAAATGCTTTTTAGTTCTAATGATACAATTTTAATTTTTAATTTTAAATAGAAATATGAAGCAAAGTAAAATTAAATATAAAAACAAATTATTGTCGGTAATTGGGGCCTGTATATCATAAGTTTATAAATATATTGTTGGTAAATCATTTTTATTTATTTAATTTTATTAATTATCTATTTATTATTTTATAGTTAAATATTGTAATCTTTGTAATCCTGCTGATGAGGGGCATGATGGCCTGAAACACAGATGATAATCATATGTTTACATGTAGCTTAAAAAGTCTGTTTTCTCTAAAAACATTTCCTCATTCTTGTGTAAATGCCTAACCCCAGTATAATTGTCCTGTTAATGATTAATGTCCATGTTGACAAATATATAATATATAATAAATACATATATTTTTACTTGAAAAACAGAGAGAGAGAGAGAGAGAGAGAGGATTTAAAAAGAATGAAAGAAAAATGGAATTAGTTAATTGATAAGACAACTGAAACCAAAGTTAATTTTGTAAGACAAAATATTACTTTCTCTTAATCATCATTATATAATAAATGAAAATACAAATAAGAAATAAATTGAGAGCCAAGGTATTAAAAATGCCTCTGCCTCAACTGGTATGATTTTAAATATCATCTTAAAATATTTTTAAGAATTCAGTTTCTTTTTCAAATATCTTTTATTGAAAGTAAGGTAATACATATGAAATATGACATTGGTTAAATGGCCACCCTGATTTCAACAGCAGATATGCATTCTTTGAATAAAGTTTTATGTGACATTTTTGCATAATTGAGGCTCTATTTCTGCAACAACAGCTTGGGTGTTATGTTTAAGCAGATCACTGATGGTTATAGCATTTCCAGCACATTTTCAAAAAAGTACAGTCCAATGACTCTTGCAATCCACAAATTGTGCCAAACTTTGATTAAATGGGTGCAGAGGCATCTGTTTATCTTCCACAACACCAGTTTCTCTAAATTTCACAATTATTAATACCTTTGAATTATTTTGGTACTGGGCTTGTGATTCTTACCATAAACAGCATGCCACTTTCTTTGCATTGTTATTAAAGATTGCTGATTTTCATAAAACATTTCAACAATTATGCATTTTGCAACTATGTACCATTCTGTTTTTTCCCCCAAGTCTCAACATGCCTTATGCCAAATAAAATATTACCAGCTAAAAATACTACAGCACAAATCATGTACAATTCAAATTTGGTACCACTTATTGGGGCATCCTTTAGTATTAAATTAGAACAGACATAATTAAAATATATATCAAGCATATTGTTATAATTTTAAACTGAAAAACAAATTGAATTAAAAAATATGATAAATAGATCAAAATTATATGAATATAAATTAATAAATAAACCAGCAACGAGATGCTCAACTTTCCCAGCAACATTTAAATTTTGATGGCTCCATCTATTATTATATTTTAAATAAAAAAAACTTTTTAACTAGTCATTATTATAAAATGACAAAAAGCTTAATTTTGAGGGTAGGAATGGTTTTATAAAAAATATTAAATGCTAATAAAGAGTAAAATTGTGATTAAGTCCAGCTCTACTGGAGATACACATGAATGACTCCCTTTATCTCCCACCTCTCAACCTTTACTCACCAAAATTTAATAGCATCAATCACCCTAATAAATAAACCTCCCTGAAAAATTTCAGATTTTTTCCAAGAAAAAGCACAGGAGTTAAGCTTTAAAGAGGATGAACAAAATTGTGTCCCCCCACACACACTAATATCCATACATATAGAAATTGCCCCAAATTTTTTTTGCATTTCTTGACATTTCAAGTCCAGAAATGTAAAAATCTTCGAGGGTTGTTGTTTTACTGATTGTCATACTTTTCCTGTTACATATAACAGCTAGAAAAGTAAAAATGAAGTCAAATTTATTCATAACATGCCATAATCCATTAATATCTAACAAACTATATAGCAAGCCAAATACAAAAAAGGCAAAAGCATTCTGTTTGAAATCAGATCCTTCACTTCATAGCAGCAAACTTAGTCAAATTCTCAGAAATATTAGACCTCATCACTCACCACCTGGCTGCTGTACAGCAGGCCTGGAAAATTCCTTTTGTGTCTAATATAAAGATTGTCTTGGTGCCTATTAGATGGTAAGGTTTTATATAATATTGTCACTAAGCAAATTTTTGTCAGCTGAACTTTTCATTTAAAAAGTTATTTGAATAGAGGAATGTTTATGAAAATATTCTGTTCACTCCTTAAAAAGTTCTAGAAATCCATTTTTATTCTCAAGTTCAAATTTGTTCTTTTTAATGTAAACCACTATTATTCAACTAGTTTCCTTCAACAATAAATTAGTTTTTGTGCTTTCGAGTGGACTGTCAATTATTTTACCAGTAACAATATACTATCACAAGAGAACAGTAATTTAAACACAAAAAGTTTAATGAACATATATTATCCAAGAGGATCTTTATATTAATATTATCAATTTTTATAATTAATTTTTTCTGAATGTCAATGGCAAAATGATTTAAATTATAAATTATGATTAAGAATGATATTTTGGAAATTTTAAAATAATGTTTTGTACACTATTTCTATAAACTTTATTAATTTGCATTTTTAAACATTAGTGAAACATTAGTGAAAAATACTTACCTCAATTTTTTTAGGTAACATAGGTGTTATATCTGGACCAATCTTAAAATTTGATGCTAAGTCAATTATTTGTTCAGATTTATTTTCCAATACTTGTTTAAGAGTTAAAACTTTCTTTTCTAACATTAAATGCTTTAAGTTCATTTTCTGTTGTAATTCTTGTATAAATAACAAAAAATTTGAATACATTTTTTTTCTTTCCTTTTGAAGCTGTAATATTTTTGAAAACTGTATTAATATAGTAGTAATAATTATTAAAAAAAGAAAACTACAATAATATTTTGCTAATATAAAAGTAATAATTTGTTAATAATGTCATACAAGTAGTATTTGAAGAATTGATATAATTATTCTGCTAAATTCAGAATAAAATTTATTTATTCTAAAAATTATTAATGATGATAAAATTAACTTAAAAATGCAAAAAACTTCAAAATACTTGTTGTTAAAAAATGTCAAATAAAAATTATTAAAAATCAAGCTACGTTTCAACTTATTACACTGCTTCTAATTACCTTAAAACAGAGGGTTAGGAGAATTTTTTATTTGTCCATGTAACAAGATATCTACTATATAAAGCTTGAAAACTTATGGCCACTAGGGTGACCCTAGCTATTATTTAAATTAACAATAAATTCAGTATATTATTATTTCATGTGGTTTTATGCATTTTTGGCTGTGTTTTAGTAGGGTACGCCATGAGAAATTCAGTATATTATTATTTTTATTTGTAATAGGAATTTATTATCTATTCCATGGAATGGCACCACTGTTGCTAGAACACCCACTAGGGGACGTCCTGGACTACTAGAATAGAAGAATTAAAAATATGAAATACAGTAGAGCATCAATTATCCGAATGTCGGTTAACCGAAAGCGTTCCAGTTGGACTGTGTCGTGCTGAATCGAATGTTTTTGATACTAGATTAACTTCCAAAGTATAATTTTTTTGTTTTTAAATTTTTCAATATATTTATTTTGTTTGTACAAAATAAAGAAATAATTTTTAATGATACAATAGCCATTATTATTATTATAAAAATTTTTGTTAGGCTTAACATTCATGAAAATTCAACGTGAAGCAACACGCAACCAGAGAAAAATTTAAACATGGGATATATTAATATACTATTATTGGGATATAATAATATACTATATTAATAATGTATTTTTTCGTACATAATCTGTTATCCGAAAAATCGATTTTTCAAACAACCCCAGTCCCCAATTGATTCAGATAATTGACACTCTACTGCAATCTAATAAACTTAATCTTTGTTGTTGTTTTTTGCCCAGGCAATGCTGGACTCATCTGCTGGTATATAAATAACATCTTTAAACAATTTTTACTTTCATATTAATGTTGTGATCTATAGGAATTTATTTAAAAAAAATTTTTTTTTAAAATATATTCCTATATTCATGTATATCCATATATTATCAATCGTCACCATTTCCATCACAAAGAGTTGAAAAGGGACTCGAAGTCCAAAATGCATAACTCTAGGAAATAAAAATGTGATTTTTCTAAAGATTGTCCTGTATCTAATTGATGGTGTAATAAGTCTAGCAGAAAAGAAAAGCTGTCACAGAGTTCGTAAAATTGAAAAAAAAATTTTTTTGTATCATTGATATCATCATCAGATATATCTGATGTACATAACAGTATACAGTACAGTATAATGTAACACTACATAATACCTTTCACTAATAATATATATTTCTCATATTCCCTGCCAAACATATATATTTTTCCTTAAAGAAATAACTAAATTTGTTAACTAAGGAAACAGACTTAACTTATGTAAATTTTTCTTATAATTATAGACTAGTGATTTAACATGTCCTATACCATAATCTGTATTGATCAGAGATCAAGATACTTATAATACATTAATTCAACAGTTTCTTTGCTCTAGAAATTGTTGAATTAATGTATTATAAGTCTAAAGAAACAATTTCTATCAATCTGAAATGCATTGCTGAATAAAAGCAAAAAAGAGTTAATTAAGCATCTTGGTCTCTGATCAATACAGATTATAGGAAAGAACATGTTAAATCACTAGACCACTATTATAAAAGAAATTTACATATATATTGTAACCTAGCATATTTTAAAAATAATATAATAGCTTTCACACACATGTTTATCAAATAACATATGCTTTCTTCCAATCTTGTCCCACTGCATATGTTTGCACCCAGCTTTAATGCAGTGTTACCTACCAAGTCATTTTCTTAAGTTTCCAGATGAGCTTCAGTTTTCTGCCAAATTGGGATCTTTTTCACTAAATTAGAGTTGGAAAAACTAATGGTCTAGTCCAGCAATTTCCAAAGTATGCATTGCGGCTTCCTCACAGGGGCTCCATGAAATATTATAAAATTTTCATACTTTCACTTCCACTTTCAATTCAATGTGATAAGATGCGACATTTAGCAGACCTGGTGCAAATCATTAACTCAGTAATAAAGATGGCATATAGAATCGCAAAATGTAAAAAGCCTCATACAATAGCAGAAAATATCATTCTACTGGCTGCTGTAGATACGTTGAACATTCTGATTGGTGAGATGGCTGAGAAGCAGCTTTCAAAAGTGCCTTTGTCCAACAACACCATCAGTTGCACCAGAATACAGCAAATAATGAAGGACCTCCAATGTTCATTTAATTGAAAAAATAAAAGGGAAGAAATTTGGGTTGCAGCTGGATGAGGACACAGATAATAGAAATGATGCTCACTTGATTTGCTATGTACAGTTTATAGATAATAACAACATTGTAGAAGACTTTCTCTTTTGTAAAAGTATCACTGCTGGTGCTAAGGCTCACGACTTGTTTGAGATCCTTGATATTTTTATATTTGAAAATAATTTGGAGTGGACAAATGCATTGGTATCTGTAGTTATTATGCTTGTTCTATGTTTGGGTGTTATGGAGGAGAGGATTGCAAGCACTTTTTCTAAGCAAGGATACTGATGTACTGTGGACCCATTGCATCATTCACAGGAAAGCACTCANAATTTTGTATATTATACTCTATAACAGGCCTGGCCAACCCATGGCCTGTCATGTTAAATTGTGTGGCTTGCTAAGCGATATTATATATCTATTAAAACTTTTGTTTCCCATTATCTGTAGATACGTTGAACATTCTGATTGGTGAGATGGCTGAGAAGCAGCTTTCAAAAGTGCCTTTGTCCAACAACACCATCAGTTGCACCAGAATACAGCAAATAATGAAGGACCTCCAATGTTCATTTAATTGAAAAAATAAAAGGGAAGAAATTTGGGTTGCAGCTGGATGAGGACACAGATAATAGAAATGATGCTCACTTGATTTGCTATGTACAGTTTATAGATAATAACAACATTGTAGAAGACTTTCTCTTTTGTAAAAGTATCACTGCTGGTGCTAAGGCTCACGACTTGTTTGAGATCCTTGATATTTTTATATTTGAAAATAATTTGGAGTGGACAAATGCATTGGTATCTGTAGTTATTATGCTTGTTCTATGTTTGGGTGTTATGGAGGAGAGGATTGCAAGCACTTTTTCTAAGCAAGGATCCTGATGTACTGTGGACCCATTGCATCATTCACAGGAAAGCACTCAAATCAAAATATCTGAGTCCTACATTGAACCAGGCCTTATAATATGTAGTTAATGTAGTAAACTTTATAAAAACTTGGCCATTAAAGGCAAGATTTTTCAAAAAATTATGTAAGGATATGGGATCCGAGCACACGTACAACAAAGATTGTACTACAGCACTTCGAGAAAGTACAAAGCATTACCATGAGAGAGCAATGTTTTGTCTTGTGCATTTGAACTGCAACAGGAAATTTATATTTTTCTTAAAGAAAAACCACAAGTATGCCAAAAACTTTGTGAATGAAGATTTTTTTGGTAAAACTAGCATACTTATGTGATATTTTGGAAAAACTGAATGCTCTGAATCTCTACCTTCAGGGAAACAACATGCAACTTTTAAAGTGGATTGAGAAAATGTCAGTTTTTATAAAAAAAAATTAAAAAACTATGGAAAATTAAAATAAATGAAGATGGAGGAAAAGAATGATTCCTCTTGTTGCAACAGTTTTTGACCTCAAATGGAGTTGATTTCTCTCGAGGTATGAAATCTAGTTTGAAGAACATTTATCACATCTTATCACCTGTTTCAGAAATATTTTCAAAATGATAATATCGATAAATTTGCATGGATTCAAGATGTCAGTGCTCCATTTGAATTTACTGCTGCAAAAGAAGAGAATCTTACTGAGTTGTCTTGCGACAATATGTTGAAAACAAAATTTAGCAGCATAGAATTAACTGAATTTTGGATATCAGTAAAAGATGAATATCCCTTCTGAGTGGTAAAGATCAGAAAATCAATTCTATTCGCAACTTCTTATTTGTGCAAACCTAAGTTTGTAGCTAAGATAAAAACTAAGCATTGCAAAAAAAATCAATGTGGAGAAGGAAATGAGGGTGGCTGTGTCCAGTTTGATCCCTATATTTGAGAAAATGTGCAATAATCAACAGGCTCATCCATCTCACTAATTATAATTAATTGAATTTGTTTAATCACATTTTTTTATTATCTTAAATATGTGTTTTATTTATTTTTTTACTTAACATCCTACTTCTTTAATTTAAAAAAATATTGGCTATTTTGCAAATTGTACTTGCTAGATTTTGACATAGGATGCCTTGGGAAAATCTGGATTTAGCAAGGAAGCCGAAAATCAAAGAAGTTTGGGAACCACTGGTCTTGTCAATGTTGCTAACTGTAAGGAAATTTTCTTTTTTTGGATAATTCTATTTCTAAACAGAGAATTCTTTAAAAAACTATGTTAAGAAGTAATGTTGTCAACTGAGTTAATCATTACAGTATTTTTCTTTCAACTCATCTAAAATTCTGTAATTCCTCCTACATTTTAGAATGAAATAAAATTCCACTAAACTTGTTGGAAATTTCACAAACATTGCCTCAGTTTAGCATGTTTCTTTCAAGCTTGGTTTATGTTGTGGTGCTGGTCATAACAATTACATCAAAATGCAAAATGATTCTATTGAAACAGAACATATATAAATCACTTATACAACACACATGCAGCATTTTATTAGAGATGTTTTAGGTGGGTCTTGTTTGCAAGTCATCAGAATTTTTACCACATTTGCTTTTTGTCATACAGGTCAAGATTATATGAGAGGTTGAAATTGATAAATTGGCTGATGATAAATTGCTATTGATGATTGTGAGCAAACAGAAAAGTTTGGATCAAGGTAAGAAAAGAGAAATTACTTGTCAACAAAGATTCATGATGCAAAGCATCCAGAACTCAAGGCTCTTGGTTTGATGGGTACTCAATCTGGGGAAAACTGAGGGGATGGGAAATAAAAAGCTATTGAAGAAGAATAAAATTGGATGCATGTTTTTCTTCCATATTCTTTGAAAATACTGCATTTTCTTGGAAGAAGGCACTCAAGTCCTATACCTTGTGGATCTTTAGAGGATGACTCCTAAAGTCTGGAATGTGCCAGTCCTACAACAAATAATTTTGTATAGTATTCCCTATTAAGAATTGTATATAAATTGCATTTCCTTTAATATGTAGCAGATAGCAAAAACAATTTTTTATGATATCATATGTTTTGTATTACTGTATTGTATATAAATAGAAATATAATGAAAATAAACAAAGTAGTAAACTTACTAAAGTAAATAGTTAACAAGGTTGGTCAACCCAATCTAATAGCATGCTCCACAAAAGCAAATCAAATATTAATTTTGTTTAAAATAAATTTTATAAATTCTTCAAATCAAATAGTTGTTCAGAAGAATTTTTCACTGAATATACAGTAAGGGATGTGGTTTATAGATTCCAGAGGAACTGGGTAGTTTTTATTATAGCTTACAGTGACTGCAAGGGAAAACGTTCAGTTCCCTTTTGTGCAAGTGCATGGACATGTGCAATGAATGGATTGAACAGAACATAACTTAGGTAACAAAAATGAACTGTCTCATTGCGCATGTGTGTGTACATGCATAATAAATGGATTGAATGGAAGCATGACAAAGTTCAATTGAATCTACTTGGTAAATATTTGCATGCAAAAATTTTGTATATTATACTCTATAACAGGCCTGGCCAACCCATGGCCTGTCATGTTAAATTGTGTGGCTTGCTAAGCGATATTATATATCTATTAAAACTTTTGTTTCCCATTATGTGTATACCAAAACAATTAAATAAATGAAAATTTGCATGTGTCATTGTTATAATGTGCAAGTGTGAGTACAAACTCTTGGTATAACAATAAAATCTTATTCATTTTGTATTTGTTTTACTTTTTTAAAAGCATGTTTGCCTAAATTGTGGCCCACTGTAATGCTACACGTGAACAAAGTGACCCGCGAAACAATTTGGGTTGGTCAGGCTTGCTCTATAAAATGAAAATTAATTTTCAAACTGTTCTTTGTCATAATTGATCTTTTTGCATGTATTTACTTGATTTTCAAATGATCTCTTGGTAACACTAATAAATACATTTGCTGTCAATTGTTATCTCGAATATACAACGTCGACACACACACAAAAGTCCCAACATAAGCACTTCGCCACTATAGTGAAGCATGCTAAAAATAAACTTATAAGATTGTACTGAAATTTTGTGATTAAAAAAAAAAACATTAAACTGCACAAGTATGATAGAACAAACACAATGCCAATGAAATAAATAAAAATGGACACAAAGTACTAAAAGTGGGAAGTAGGGAACAAAAGTTACTCCCTACTTTCCACTTTTTCTAGTGTAACTTTCAAGTTTTTCACAAATGCACTTCAAAGAAATTTGCAATACAAAATTCTTTGATTCAAATGTTGCAGTTAGTACTAAAGAATATCATCTTGTTGTAGTGAGAATTTGAATACTGGAGTACAGCTGTATTTGAAAAATTATTAATTAGTATAAAAAAATATTACCTGATTACATTTCTGCTGATAAATTTCATTCTGTACCATTATCTCACTTATTTCTTTTTCTAGTTTTTTTATTTTATGTCGTTTTTTCTGAAAGAAATATTTTAAAAATTACAAGAAAATGCACATTTTAATAAAAAAAAAAAATATAAAAAAGTTTTATCAATGATATGATAAGGAATGAATACATTTTCAAAATAGTCAGCTATAAAAATGAAACTTATTGAAATTAATAATAAAATTCATCAGGCTATCTAAAGATGTAGAGCAGTGTTTCCCAACCAGTTTGGATTAGTGACACACTTTGAAGTTATAAATATTGCTGTAACACACCATAGTTTTTAAAATAAAATTGTTTAAAATTTAAAATAAATTATGGTTGATTTTGAAAAATTTTAAATAAATTATGGTTGAAATTGCAAACTGTGATAATACAGAAGTTAAACTTACTAAGGGTGTGTTTACTTCTGAGCTAATGGTGCTACTTCTTAACACCAGAAGTGATGTCATTAGCATGTGTATTTGTGCTTACACATCCAGTTTGAAAGTAAATGCAAAATCTAACAAGAAATACAGCAGTTTCCTGCAAATAATATTGTCAAAGCTGTTATTTTAAATGTTACATTACAGATAGAATTACTTGATTTCGAATCAGATGAGAATGATCTTATTATGGATATAATTGTGGAAAAAATGAACGAAAAAAGAAAAGCAAGATCCATAAAAAAGATAGAAACCTTTATTGATGAGACTGTATCTTTTTATAATCCAACCGATTTTAAACAGCATCTTAAATTTACAAGAGAATCTTTTGAAAGTCTCCTTAAAAAAATAAGCCCAATTTTAGACACAAGTCATCTTCCAGTAGCAGTAATTTTTTTGTATCTCCTCAAAAGCAGCTTTTATGCTGCCTGTGGACATTGGCAAATCAAGAATTATTCAGGTTGGTTTATTCAAAGTAATATATGAAATCATATGTAGTATATAAGAGAATAGCAGATTATACATATATATAATACATATTTAATGCAATTGTTTTACCCAGTGAACAGATGTGACGTTGCTCTTTTATGGTTAACTAAACTTAGTTTAAAGTCAACAAATAATTGATATTAAATACAAAACATTTTTTTTCTTTTCTCTAAGGATATTGGCAATTGTTTTAATATGTATAGATGCTCTGCTTAGAATATTTTAAATAATATGGTTAATTCTCTCTTAGTGTTAAAGGAAAATGAAAAAATAAACTCTTGGCCATCACAGCAGGATGCTGCAAAAACAATGCTATTATTTTTTATACCCAATATGGTTTCCCTGGAATTATAGGGTCTATTGATGGAAAGCATATGGCTATTAAGACATGACATCAACTGAAGAAGCAGCAGCTTATTTCAATAGAAATAAGTATTACTCTGTCATCCTATAAGCAGTTTGTAATGAGAAAATAGTATTTTTAGATTGCTACATAAGTGATGCTGAATCAGTGCATGATGCATGTGTTTTATGATAATCAACATTGCATCAAAGTAAAAACCAGCAATGGATTTTTCAGTTGTGGCCATATTTTGGGTAATAGTACCTATCCATTACCTTAACATTTGCTATTGCCTTATTGAGATAATGGAAATCTCAACAGCGTGCAAATATTTCACATTAATAAATTATCAAAATGTAGAAATGAAATTGAGTGTGCATTTGCACATCTTGTTGGATAGTTCAGATGTGTCAAATGGACTTGATTGTAAAAACAATTATTGGTGCATACATTCTGCACAATATTTGTATACAAACTTATGATGTGATGGAAGTAGATTATTATTTTGATAAACAAAGAAATGAAGAAACTACAATGCATCCTGTTGTCAGAAAAGCTACAACAAAGCATGTAAATGGAATGTTTTTTTAGATCTTAAAAATTTCAGAACATTTAGTCAGTAAAATATTTGTTTCAATATCTCAATTGATATATTTACTTGAATAAAAGTAAAAATACCAATACTGTATTTGTATAAAAGATTCTTTGTATAATTTTATAATATTCTTTTTATTTACATTTTTATGATGTACTTACTTAATGCTATGAAAACAGTAGTAGTATTTAATTTTATAAATTCCTAAAATGCAAATAGTTGAAACAAGAGTTTTTATTCAAATGATGCAATTTCAAAATAATTTCATGAATGTAAGTGAAAATTCATTCAAGTATACAAACTTATATAATTTTGGATTATTATTAATGCTGTTCATTTCTTTATGATTTATTTAATGTGATATGTTGTTAATTTATTTAAAAAAAAAAACCACTATTTGAATCAATGTGTAAATAGCTAGTATTGGTAAATAACTGGTAAATTACAACATTTACAGAAGCTCCAGAGTTTGTATGCCAGCATATGCACAGATACATGCAACTTTTGTGAGGCGAGTATGCTGATGCCACAATTTTGCAACAATTGACACTTTAATGAATATCTCCTTCTCCCTTTGTTGGCTGGCAGTAAAAAGATGAAAGATAAATAAAATTTTAAAAAATAAACTAAATATTTTTTAGAATTTTGAATAAATATTTCCGCAACATACCTGAGGCACTCTCACAACACACTTGTGTGTTGCAGCACACAGGTTGGAAAACACTGATGTAGAGTAACATGTAGTCATACATTATAACTCAATATTTTGATACTATATTGTATTAAAACAGGAAATGTTATAATTATACTGACATTTCTACTGTATATATGTGGGGGGCCGAGGGAAGAGAAATAAAACTTTCGACGAACGATAATATGTGATATGTATCGTCATCGTCTCCCTTGCCATCTGGATTGCCGAGCGGTAACAATCAACGACATGTGGAAGCAGTTGAGTCAGAGATAGATGCCTTGTTTACAAACAACACAACCGTTTATTAAACACGAAAGAAGCTTACAAGGCTTCCGCGATCTTGGAAGTTCTGCGGCGGCTGCGGTCGCTGGGTCTTCCTCTCCTGTGGTTCCACGATAGTCCCATTTTGAAGGAGTGTCCCTTGTTCGAGAATGAACCATTCCATCATGTCTCAACGACTCCGGGACGACGTGGTCGACTTCCGTTGAGGGAAAGTTGTTGATCCGAAGTCGGGAGATGGAGACGAAGATGGGTGCGAGACACACACACAACAACAGATCCGTCACTTGGAACTTTCGGGAGAAGAAGCCGTCGCGTCCTCGAATTTCCGGGGTTTTATCTGTTTTCTCTCAGATTCCCCTTTCCGATTGGTCTCCCGTCGTCACCTGATGACAATTCGAAACCTTTCGGGGGCGCGGGAGAGGTCAAAATCGAAGTTTAATTCGATCTCCAACCGGAAATGGTCGACGGACTTACATTCTTCTATTGTTTAAAAGTTAGCGTCGCGTTTTCATATCATAAAAATCTATTTCTAACTAATATATTATTTTCTCTAAAACAATTATTTTAACGCAAATTTTAGTGAGTGTTCGGACCTGTCCAGAGCCTCACATATGTAACTGTGAAACAATCATTATTCTAACATGTTTATAATGTAAATGACAGTAAAATCTGAAAAGAAGAGATCATCATTCTTGCCTTTTATACAGAACAATGCATCTTGACTTTCACTGAATCATGGATAACTTCTATTGTGATATAGATGCAGGTATATACTGGTCCATTAGGAAATTGGGAATTTCTTGAAAGACCCCTTCTATTGACCTTGGTGTGACCTCTCTGACCACCCCATTCCAATACTTTCAAGTGATAAAATTTTAAGTTTTAATTTATGATTACAACTGCTGTGCAGCATGATCTTGGGTGACAGCATCATGCTCTGTGTTAATAGATAAAAAAAACTACTGCAATAATGCATAAGCATCACATGTAGCAAACTCAATGTCTACAAGTCATCCACAATGATGTGGACTATGTTTTTGTAAGCATTAAACAAAACCTTGATGTGTATTTACAGCTTGAGTTTCATAAGTTTCATCCATTCCATTTAATTTTTAAATTCATTTTCAATAAAATTTGCTTTGATAAAATAAAAGCAATCAGTACAGGATAAATGACAGGTAAGTTTTATTGTTTCAATAAACTTAGACATTCTGTGTATGATGAGTCTTTCAAAATTTTCTTTTTCTTCACAAAATGTGTATGTTGTATCTTTTTGACTCTTTCTGCCATGTGAGCAATAAGAGGGTCTTTTTAATCAAGTTCAGATTCACTATGGGGTGGTCATGTGATGGAGGCCTAACATATCTGGGATAGACCATCCTCTAAAAATTCCTGTGGTGTTTTGACTCATCTGGATTTATTTCTGGATCCCAGAGCAAGGGCTGTGGTGAATTGTGGAGCAAGTTTTGTCAAATGCAAGACTCAATACTCCAGTTTACTAACAAAAGAAACGAAAAAGTGACCTAAAATCTGAAAAGAACAGACTAAAACTAATTATGAAAAATGGCTAAATGATGATTGAAAAAATATTTTATAAAAGGAGACTATTCCCAACCATGGTATATGGCCAGTTAAATCAAAACTGAGGGACAACTAATATTTTAAGGAACAAAAAATCAAATATACAAATATCTAAAAAAATTCACTTGTTCAGTTTACCAATGAAATAAAATATCATCATCATTATAATCATCATTAAAAATAAAAGTGTCACTAAATGTTTCATTGCCTTCAAATCATTTAAATACAATTTCATGGAATTATTTATTTTTTATCTCATCATCTTTGAATATATTGTAATAATAAAAGACATTATGATTTAAAGTTTCTTTTAACTTTTTATATACTGTAGATTGTAGGATAAGAAATTTTCTACCATCTTACTTTGAACAGTTGATTTTGTTTTTTTGACATTTTCATGAAAGATTCAAATGTAATCAATAATGCCTAACTAAATAGTGCTTGGCTGGTGTTTTTATATTTAGATAAATATTTTTCATTAACATGTTGTATGGAAAAATTTTATAGTATCAATTATATATTGCTGAATAAAAGCCATTCTAAATTGTTAATTAACCATTCTTATAGATATCATCTCATGATATAAACATTCAATATCTAAACTTTTACATTTGAAATACAATTATTTTGCTATATCATTAATTAAAGATCATATTGTATAATAACTAATAATGCCAACAAAAGTTTAGTAAGTTATTCTAGTAGTTGTAAGATTTAAAGTTGTTTCAAATTTTTATCTATGATTAATTTTAAATGTGGCTGTAAAATTTTATAAAAACAGTATTTTAACAATAGAAAAACATATATAATAAATATTTACCTCAAGATCTGAATTAATTTGATCATAATGATTTACTTTAATTTGTGCTGTTTTTAATTCTTCTTGAATATGTTTTAATGTTTCAGAAAGATTTTGATTTTCTTTTATTTTTTCATTTAGTTGTGATTCTATTCTCTTATGATTGTTGGTTGTAATCTCTAATTGTTTCTAAAGAAAATAAGACATTTTATAATTATATTTGTATTTTAAACAGAAATTTAAAAAATAAAAATTAAATTAAATATCAATATTAACAGACATTATATTAAGACCAAACAAATAATTTTTATTAATTTTATTGTAATGAAAAGAAATAAAATAAATACAAGATTCCATTGTATTTGTTTTATTCAGATTGATAGCAAATATCTAAATCCATTTTGTTAAAAATTGTGATTGGTTACAATATTCTCTGTAATAAATTTAAATTAAAGAAAAAAATATCTTATGTCATAGATCTAGAGGTGCACAAAATAATAAAGAAACATCTGTGAGGAATTGTAACATCTATGTATAGAGAGTATACTGTATACCAATTGCTGGAGAATGAAAAAGAAAACTTGTCTCCCTTTAAGCACTCAGGGTATATAAATTCCCACCAGTCTTCCAATTGGAATGAACTAAGATTTTACATGGATAGCACTTACAGAAATCTAGATACATGGCTAAAAACAAGAATGATATAGCTAAAATTAAAATTAATATAGCTTTAGAAAAGTATGGATTAGATAAAGTGATAAAAATAAAATATGGTAAAGTGTCTTTGGTTTTGTTGGCTCCGTGAATGACTGCAGAGAAGAACAAACAGAAAATTTGCCTGGAATCAAGTAAAAAATTCTCCAAATTATAATTGTAAAAGTGATTGAGATATGTAACTTTATACCCTCAACCATGAGATGCTTTATCTGTCCTAAAAAAACCCTAAAAAATTTAAATAATTAAATAAAATTTATTGATGCAATTATTTGTCTCCAAGCTTTGCTTCCCCTGGAAAAATCTCTGCAGATGCCCATGGTTGGCTCCTAAAAATTTAACCTTAAGGATAGCAGAAGAATTAAAAATATACAAAATGTTACTTTAATTAATATAAAAAAAAATTTAATAAAAAGAAATTTTCACAATATATTATTTAAAAAATGAAGCAAATAAATTAAAATAGTAATTATGTCATATTTTTTAATTTTGTTAGTAAAATAAAGGAAAGTAATGCTCTTGAGTATAAAAAAAATTTACAAGTCAAGATAGGGATATTGTTTTGAAGTATATAATTATTTTAGTTATCAAAATTCACTTTATAGTAATAAAGTTTATGGTCTTCTAGCATTATAATTATCAAGTTACATGTCAATTGTCAATGAGATGGACTAGCTGTTCATTTCAGGGGCGGACTGGCCCTAAAATTTTTGTGTGGAAAATTTATTACCAGCCCAGCCCACAAATAAAAAAAAATGTATTTTTTTCTATTTCTATTTAAATATATTCAAAATACAACATTGACAAAAATTACAATAAGCACAACTTCATATTCTACATCTACAATATTAATTTTTTATTTAGAAGTTTGCTTTGTTGAGTGATAATATTAATGACATCATCAGGATGTATTTCGTTTAAAAAATCCTTCTCCACTGACATTAACACGAAGGCTTCTAGATTTACTTGCGAGATACTTATAAGTATCTTAGCCTGCTTTTAATTAATTTTAACATAGAAAAGCTTTGTTCACCGGACACTTGTGTTACAGACATAGATAGCAGATATTTGTATGCTTGACCAAGTATAGAATAAGCGCCACTTAACATGTTATATCTGAATAATATATTATAACAACAAATAGAGCAATTTTTGCAAGCAATGCAGTAAGAGGATAAAATCGCATCTTTATTAGTTTCTACTTGATCATCAGTAGAATGTTCATTTTCGTTTAATTTTATAAAAGTTTCATTGACATTTTCTTTTAAAATATTCCATGACGATTTAAAATGTTGCAATTCTGAAATAATATTGTGTTGAGTAGCTACTGGATTAAACTGTATTAAAATACTGCTTAATTTTTGAAATGGTCCCGTAAATTTTGGTCTAATGTGCTTTGAACTCACTGTAAGATGACAGTCGAACTCTCCCCGGTTGCTCTCTCTCCCACTTTCCCTAGTCTAGATCGAAGACGTGTGAATTTGGTCCGGGAATGCGACAATTAAATCGTCTTACACTCGTTCTTGTTTACAAAATAAATCACTGATTTATTAGCTTTAGCTCGACAACCAGTTTCCTATTGGAGAGGGGATGATGTCCCGGCCTCACACTACAAAATAGATTATTTTTAATTAAATCGTTTGGAATATAGAGAAATTATTATTGAATAACATTTTTTACTTACCTAAAATAAAGGAAATAATATAAGTGGCCATTAAATTTGTTATGACTACAATCATCGCTTTGGTGGCTAGGTACAAAACTAATAACTCGCATTTCTATAGTTTAGCATTAAAATTCATAAGAGTGATGAATAGTTTCTAGCAATGTAAACAAATGATCAATTTTCTCTGTTTAGAAGGTAGTTTTGATTATTTTTCTCCTAGGATGCTTTATGTTTGGGCTAATGTAGTGGTGTTTGACTCAGATCGGCCGAACTAATTTAACTTCGGATACGGGTAGGGCCGGATAAAATGATACAGGTCTACACATATACCTATATTATACACCTTACTTAACAAAAAAATATATGAATTTTTTAAAAATTAAACTTAACCAAATGGTACATTATGTACATATTTAGAAAAAAACGGCCCAAATTGTATACGGCCCATGTGGAATTTTCCACATTTTCCACATGGCCAGTCCGCCCCTGGTTCATTTGAAATGATTTTATCATCATGTTTCATTGGATGGATTATAAATAATAAATGCTAAAATAAACTAGGAAAAATTAATTTAAAAAAAATTTTAATGTAGATAATATTAGTAGTATATTTGATGTTTGAAGAGCTACTAGAATTGAAACAGGTTCAGAGTGGCAATATGCTAATATGGCTCGACAGAAATGACTGCTATACACACATCAACAATGATGCTAGTGACCCTTTTTCATTTACTGCTTATTTACTATACACAGAGTAAATAAGCAGTAAATGAAAAAAGGGCCACTAGCATCATTGTTGATTTTACTAGGAAAGTAGCACATAGACTCTACAATATGCAACAATACAGGTTTGAAAGATGATTGCTTAACTCTTATTCACTGCAAAGGACTAAAATATGCTAGGATTGATCAGTTTCTAAATTGTTCTCTGACAGTCATTATATAGAAAAGAAAAAATTAACTAAAATCCACTTTCAAGATAAATTTAAGTAGGAGTGTCTAATGATCAATTAGACATTCCTAAATAATCAATTAAAATATGGATAGATTATTTAGGAATGTCTAATTGATCATTAGACACTCCTACTTAAATTTATGTCTTGAAAGTGGATTTCAGTTAATTTTTTCTAAACCTGTTATGAGTTGTAATTCCAATTTAAAATCAATAGATAACTGCAGCAACACATAACTGCACGTTCTTTCAAATTTATTTTAAAACACATATAGATCACAAATTATTTGCAGGAAATTATGTCTTCTGAACAAACTCACAAACATGATGCTTTGTTAAAAAATTTATAATTAAAAAATGTTATATTATAATAGTATTCTATATACAGGTAACCCCCGTATAACACGGCACTTCTATAGCACGGATTCACTCTGACACGGTTCGAGAATTGGGTAAAACCCTCATACAACAGGAAATGTAATAAATTTTTACATACTTAAGTAATAATAGTTCACGAAAATTATTATTTTCGTGAACTATTAGTACTTAAGTATGTAAATTTTCTCTTCTCGCCTTCTGTCGATACACGTGGTCCTTCTCGAAACTTGTTTCAATGTTGCCAGATCGCGACGCTTCTGCTTCTGATGTTGCCGAATGTTTTTCCCTTATTCCATACTTGCTTTATTCTTCATAAGTGCTTAGCACCATATAAGGAAATTTATAAAGACCTTTTAACTAGAAGCAAGCAATCTAAAATTACATACATTTTGCAAAAGGTAAAGCATGGATCTGAAGATAATGCAGAAAAATGCTCAGAGGATAAGGATAACTTGCCAAAAAGAAAACGCTCTTGGTTAATTAATAGTGTTTTTACTGATGACGAAGAAAATATTGTTTAATTTGTATTAATATGTATCACTTAAAAAAATTTTAATGAAGATATTTATCTTAATTATGAAAATATACTAGCGTGTTTTTTAATTTTTGGAACCTAACCCTCCTTTTTCGTATTAGTTCTTTGTTTCGTATAACACGGATTCGCATAACATGGCAATTTTTTGGAACGTAACTACCGTGTTATACGGGGGTTACCTGTACTATTATACAAGGTGTCCAAAAAGTTACAGTGCAGTGGAAAAGTTAAAGTTTTACATATATTGCAGTTTCTCCTACAGTAAATGCTGGAAATGTCCCCAGAGGCTTCAAAATCCAGAAGAGTGAGGTCCACAGACCTAGCAGGCCACATTCCATGGAAGACTGAGATCAGCAAAGAAGTCTTCCAAAAAACTGTAGTCCGAAAGCTAGAACATCTGTGACCAAACAGTAATGCCATCTATCATAAAGTGGGAATGCAGGGCATACAACTTACAGGTCTTGTATGCAATACAGTACACATAACTTTAACTTCAGATTAAGTTTCTCACTGCATAGTAACTTTTCATTTTTATTCTCTAATAATATAAATTTCTTAAAGATCTGTTATGCCAAATTTTGCTATGTACAGCACCTGGCAGATCAACATCTGCTGGCAAGACAAGTGTTATCTTCTGACAGAAAACAAAAATCACGAGTTTTAAATATTTTAACTCTAAGATTTAAAAAGCTTACCTTCATCATGTTTATTAATGCAATATTATTTACTGTTATATCTTTATAATATGTTTTTAAATCTGTGAATTCTTTGTCATGATTTGATATTAATTTATCAATAAACAAATTCTTCTGAACTTCTAATTCCTCAATTTCTTTTTTTTTCTGCAATTCAAGATTCTTCTTTGCTATTGAAATTTCTTGTTCTTGCTGAATTTTACCACTCTTCAATTTTTCATTATATGACTCTTCTACTTCACTTACTTTTCTTGTAAAGTGCTATAAAAAATGAATTATGTATGGATTAGCAAGAAATAAGTTTCCCACTTCAGAGTGCTCTGGAGAGTGTTCTACTGCTCAAAATAAGACAAAATTTTGACTATAGATAATTCAAATGATGTGCTTGACATTTTTTAAATAAAAAAATAGTAAAAAAATCCATCAATAGGTGGTGCTGGAGCACACAGAAATATTGAATATGCACACACATATAAATGTTGAATATGTAGCACTAAAACTGCTCAATATGTCCTCCATTTTGAACAATGTGCTCTAATTGCAAAACCATATTTTCCACAGCTAAACACAGTGAGTCTGCTGGAATATCCAGAACATGGTGCCAAATGCTATCCTTCAGATCTGGCACAGATGCAGGTCTTTTATGGTATATGTTGTCCTTCAGGAAACCGCATAATCAAAAATCATACAATGTGATATCTGGCAAGTGAGGACTCCATGCTGTAGGAAAATAATGGCTGATTATCCATGCATCTGTGAAATGCTGTCTTAGTAATTGCAATTAGAGCTCATTGTTCAAAATAAAGGACGACATATTGAGCAGTTTTAGGGTTACATATTCAACATTTATATGTGCACGCATCTTATAATATAATCAAGATGGGATGATAAATAATAATAATAATAATAACCACTCTCCCGTGGTCACCACCTGGTCGTGGTGGGAGAGCCCAGTAATTTTACTGAACCATAGGGCAATGCAGACTGGAGCACAAGCTCCTGGTAGGGACACCCATGCCAGTAAGGTCTATGGGGAGAAATGAAGCTAAGAGTGACCACACACCCACATTATGTGGAGATAATAATCATGGTAGTAACTAGATCTAAGTATGATACCGGCTCGGACGTCGCCCGGGTTAACAAGGTCCGCGTTCGTGGGTTAGGCAGAGGCTCACGTTCGAAAAATAGGCTCCAGTCTCCCTTGGTTACCGGTGGCGAAAGCAGCGCCGGCCCAAGCATGGCTACTGCAATGCCCTCAACAGATGTGAGGAACCAACCTAGCCTTGGTGTTTCTGTGGCAATGCATCCACA